GAGAAATCTGAGGCACTTCACAGTGAGAATCAAGAGAGCTGTCTTCAAGATTCAGACCAATGACTCCGGTGATTCATTCAGTCTAATTTGCCAAACTGAGACTTAGGCTTGTGAGACTTGATCTGCTGACTGGCATTTGACAACAGTGTTAATTATGATCTAAAATTGTTTTGCTATAATAAATGCTATTAAAATCATTTCACAAAATAAAGATACAATAGATATTTTATTAAATATCCAAACATATTAAAAATATTTCATTAATCTAAAAATATTTAATACTTTTTTTTTTTTTAAGGTGGGTGTCATATCATGCGATAGCACCCAGGTAAATTCGTCACTAGAGTGCATGCTAGTGACTGAATAAAAACATCTAGACAAATATGGGTTTAAAAGAAATCTTTATTTCATTGTTTTAGTTGAATATCTTAAGCGTGGTTCCGCAGGGATCCATGACTGCAGTGTGGATCCGAGGCCTATAATTAAAAGAAAATGCATTTTTGACGTCTCTTAAATCTTTGTTGGGAATTATGGGAAATGTAGGTTTGGGACGATAGCCTATGTGTGTGTGTGTTGTTAAATGTATAGTTTGTATTTTAATATTCTTATCTTTTTGTTTTTCTTTTGTGGTATATCGTTTTCACTGATATGGGTTTAAAAGAAATCTTTATTTCATTGTTTTAGTTGAATATCTTAAGCGTGGTTCCGCAGGGATCCATGACTGCAGTGTGGATCCGAGACCTATAATTAAAAGAAAATGCATTTTTGACTTCTCTTAAATCTTTGTTGGGAATTATGGGAAATGTAGGTTTGGGACGATAGCCTATGTGTGTGTGTGTGTGTGTTGTTAAATGTATAGTTTGTATTTGAATATTCTTATCTTTTTGTTTTTCTTTTGTGGTATATCGTTTTCACTATTGCTTGTGGTAAATGCGATTTTGCATATTTGGATATATAAATGTTTTTGTGTGATGTAAATAAGTTTGATTTAGAATTGTGTGAGACCCCTGGTACGATAAATGGTTTGGTCTGTTTTGTTAAAAGGGTTTCATTCCCCTTATGGAGTTAGTTCTGGTGAGGGATCCCTGAAGTTAACATCTAAGATCCAGAACTCAGTAACGTGGTGTATATGTTTTTTCCTCTTTCTTTTTTTTATGAGCCATGCAATGAGTCGTAACGAATGATGAACTTTGGCTATTAATAAAATAATATTTTAATGGCTCTACAAATGTCTCCGTATGGAAGAACCCCCACAAGAATGTTACAAAATATTTCTATTTCAAATTAATGCTGTTCATTTAAACTTTCTAGTCATCAACGAACATTGAAAAAAAGTATTACAGTTTTCACAAAAATATTAAGCAACTTTTAAAAACTTTTCAACATTGTTTTCAACATTAATAATAACTTTCAAATAAGGGATCCACACTCGCTGTGTCTTCTTAAAGACTTGTAATTTATTTTAAATTTGCAACAGAGCAATCAACAAGCCGAAACAAATATTAATAATAATAATAAATGTTTCTTGAGCACCAAATCAGCATATCAAAATTATTTCTGAAGGATCATGGGACGCTGAAGACTGGAGTAATGATGCTGACAATTCAGCTTTTGCAAATTATTTTTTACAATATATTACAATAGAAATTTTTTCTTTTAAATTGTAATAATATTTCACAATATTACAGTTTTTACTATATTTTTGATCAAATAAAATCAGCCTTGATGAGCGTAAGAGACTTCAAAAACATAAAAATATCTAAAAACCCAAAATGTTTGAAAAGTTCTGTGTGATTATAGTTCCTTATAGTTTTACTCCCGAAAGTCTTTTTTTTTGTACATTGTAATATTTAAGATTTTTTTTTTATAATTTTGAGAATTGTTTATTTTGTGAAATATGTGAAACACATAAAACAGTCAGAAATAAATAAAAGTACAAAAGCACACCTAAACAACCCTTTATTTTACTTTACTTATTTTTTAAGTAATTCTGTAATTTGTAGGGATGTAACAATATCAAAATCTCACGATACAATAATAACACGATATGAAGTCCACAATACGGTATTTATTGTGATATTTAAAAAAAAAAGACAAATGAAAAATTGGGGGGAAAAAATACATTTTTTAACATTTTAAAGTTAAATTATTCTATCTAATGCACTTTGAGTGTTCAAAATTAAGAGCTGCAACCCATGTACTTAACTAAGAAAACTTAAGTCAGAAAAAAGTCAGTGAATTGACTTGTACCTTAACTTTAAAGGGGACTCAACCCTCTTTTTATTTGTGGTATACTGTCTCAGTCTAAATTACATTCACACTGGTGTTTTAGGAAGCCAAACAAATTAGAATATAATAATAATAATAATAACAACAACGACAGTAATAGTCATACATTGTGAAACAATTGCACTGTAAAATAAATGAAAATGAATATTTCGTAGGTATATTATTTTTGCTTTACACTACAGTAGGGAAATTACAATACTTCTTTCCTAATTTCTACACTTGAAAGAGATATTTTGAAGTTGGACTGCATTTAAACTGCTAGCTGTCAGCAATTCATACTGCACTTTTAAGCTTTTATTTTGACGGAAACGACAGTAGAGCTTTTATTTTGAAGGAAAACTCCAGCTTCAGTGAAAACAGGCTTACAAAAACGCGTCTCACAACAAATCTAGTGAAATGCTGTAATCATCTGCCTTGAAAATAAAGCATAACGGTGGCTCTTGCGTTCCCAAACGCGCGCTAAACTCGCAGCACGTGCAATAAACGAGTTTACTGCAGTCATTCACTGTGAACAGAGCCGTTCTGAGGAGCGGAAAACACCGGATTGTGATCGCCTCAACAATGTGCACGCTTCGCTTTAAAACACGCAGCAAAAACTTGATGAAGGAATTAAGCCATATTGTGCTTTCGGTTTTAGTTCGTTTGACAGATGCTGTGCCAAAGCATAACAGCCGAAAACACAACTTTAAAGATCTTTTATGTTAGAATAAGAAGTTTAAATATATTTTAAAAACGACACTTTTTGCTCGGAAGACCTATCGTTTTACCGTCATGTGACCACGATAATATCGAGACAGTTTTGCTATCGCGATATCACAATATTGATAATATCGTTACATCCTAGTAATTTGTCATCTAAAAAGTAATACATTTAAAAAAAAAAATTAGTGATATTTGTTTGTTTCATATAAAATTCCCAATCTCAAAACACAGCACAATATATTTATACAATTTTAAACATCAAAACAATGTTTTTTTCTGCACTGCAGGAAAGACAGATAAAGGTTTTGTACCTGGCATTCAAATTGGGATAAATAGCCCAGATATTATCTTACAACACCAGCCTAATCATATTGATGCAGATGAAAAATAGCAGCGTTATACAGCGCATCCCCAGCTGCAGTGGTGTTTTACACACTAATGGTGGACCAACATGGTCGACCTGTTGGTTATCAGACAGAAAACATTGTAGTAATGGCGCATTAGAGCAAAGTAAGCAGCAGAGGAGATGAACAGATAGCATGAGTGACAGAGATGTGAAATGAAAGTGATTGAATCGGGGGAAGAGGTTGAGGGGGGGCTGGTTGAGTGGGTGAGAGATGCAGAGAGTAAAAGAGAGAGATGAGACACAGCAGGGCCTCTTATATGTTTTGCCCAGGCTAGTTATAGCACACTAATGAATGGCTAATGAAAAGAGAGAACGCTCTCATACAGGAGCGAATGAGAGCTGAACATCAGGCAGATCCGTATGAGTGTCTCTCTAAGAAGAAAACCCAGTCAACATCAATCCTGTCACACACTCTGGAGATGTTTGGAATGCCATACATGTATGATAATGTAAACCTGATAGCCTCAGAAATACTACAGTTACAACTACTGTTACCACAGTCGAACTGTGCATACAAAAGTTTTTTGACAAAAGTAATTTGACAAACAAAAGTTTGTGTTTTTTAAAGTCCCTTATGCTCACCAAGGATGCATCTATTTGATCAAAAATAAATGTTAAAACTGCATTATTGTGAAATATTATTACAATTTAAAATAACTGGTTTCTATTTGAATATGTTGTAAAATGTAATTTATTCATTTGATACAAAGCTGAATTTTCAGCATCATGACTCCAGTCTTCAGTATCACATGATTCTTCAGAATTCATTCTAATAAGCTGGTTTTCTACTCAAGAAACAATTAGTATTATCAAAAAATGGCAAAAACAGTTACATTATTTCAGGATTCTTTGATGAATCGAAAGTAAAACAAAAAACACAACAGCATAATTTTTTAAAAAGAAATCTTTTGTAACATTATAAATGTATTTACTGTGACTTTTGATAAGTTTAATACGCCCTAAATGATAAGATCCAAACATTTTCAAATTATACAAATATGCTAATATATTAAAATAATACAAAATACCACCAGAAACTGAATATTCATATAATATTAACATATTAGTATTATATAAATACAAACAAAGACTAATATAATTTTTTTGTCATGTATCCATAATTAACAGTTCAGTGCCAAGAATTTCCATTTCTATTCATCACAACAAACCATGTATTTAAATATTTGAATGTTTAATTTGCATACTGCATACAGTTGTGTAAGCCATTTTTAAAAAAATAGTAGTTAGTATTTGGTATTTAGTGAGTATGCAGTAACTATTCCTTACCAAATACAACCTCTGTTTCTCTCTTTGTGCTGCTCAACAGAAGTTTTTATAATTTGAACAGTGAGGAATACTAGCAAAAGGTGCATAATGAATGCATTTCATAAATGGCTCAGAAAAGAGTGTGTGTGTGTGTGTGGGAGGGATGGGAGAGAGAAACCTAAAAGAGAGAGAAAGGGGCAGCACCACAGCCAAATGTGAAAACATCCAGAGAGTCTGCTGTGTTTCCAATGGAGTGAGCAGAGGAGAGAATATTGGATTTGCATTCCAGAGGGAAGTTATTTCCTGCTGTGAGACAGAGAGAGTCTGTGCGTCCTACCTGTCTTTGTGCCGACGTCGCCATCTGAATCTGGCAGAACTTAACAGCTTGATCCAATGCTACATCCTCATCCACCTACAGAGAGACAGAAAGTATGAGAAATAACATTAGTGGAGTTATTTATCATAATCATCAGACACAGCAACACAAAAACAGCCACTAGAATTGACTTGCTTTTTTCACATATTAGGCATTTTAATGCGGTCTCATGTCATGTTTACAATAATTTAGAGTTTATAACCAGAAAAACCATTCACACAATAATTCAGAAACTCATATAAAAGGCCTGATGTCTCCTACTTGACTGTTGCTATGTTATGTCAAAGCAGCCTCAACAGTTCAAAGCAGTCAATTTCTGTCATTTGATTGTAGTCAGTGTTGTTAACTTGTTGCAAAAGGATAAATTAGTGAATTAATGCACCGATTAAATAGTCTACTGTCATATAAACACCAAAAGTGCACATGGATCAATTTTTTTAGCATTATAAGCCTTGGCATAGGAATAAATAATTTCTGTGTCTGATGATGTAGTTCAGAGCAGAATCATCTTGTCAATTATGGTAATTCAAACACAAAATGACCAAGATAAGAAAAAAAAATCCAGAATTTTAGAGCGAAAATACAAATAAAAGAGCTTGATGTAGACATACTCGTCCACAATCGCAAACCTAGACACATAAGCACTTTAACACGTGACTGCCCATGTTTATATATAAACGTCCATTCAGTAATATGACAGAGACGCTGAGGTCAGTGAATCATTCAGCGAGGTCATTGACATAGAAAAGGTCAGGTTCACATACAACTAAATTACCACCAATTTAGTGCAAGTAACATTAAATTAGAAGTCGTCAAAAAGAGACAGTTATTTTTCAGGATTCTTTGATGAATAGAAAGTTCAAAAGAGCAGTGTTACTCAACTGTATTTGAAGAGAACAAACCTCATTGGTACTAAACGTATTATACCAATTAAGAGAGTGGTCAAGGAATGGTCTGTGGAGGAAAGAGACATGCTAATGGACTGTTTAGAGGCTACCGATTGGTCTGTTTTTAAAGAGTCATGTTTTGATTATATACTTTCAAGTCTCAAAACAATTAGTGTGGGGGCCCCACAAGGATGTGTACTGTCACCATTATTGTACTCTGTATACACTAATGATTGTGTTTCACATTGTAAATCAGTGCAAATTTTTTAAGTTTGCAGATGATACTACATTGGTTTAATAACAAATAATAACGAATCGGACTATAGAAGGGAGGTTTCTACACTGTTTGAATGGAGTTGTACTCATAATTTGAAGGTGAATGTCCTAAAAACAAAGGAAATGGTGTTTGATTTCAGACGGAAGACAAATGCTGTTTTGCCATTGACTATTAATAGTCAGGACATTGAAAATGTTCAATGTTTTAAGTTTCTCGGGACTATTATCTCTGCAACGTTAAAGTGGGACGACAACCTAAGAGGCATTATTAAAAAATCTCATCAAAAGCTTTTTTTTCTTAAGACAGCTTAAAAAGTTTGGCGTATCTAAAGTTGGTATGTTAAATTTTTATAGAGCTGTCATTGAAAGCGTGCTGACTTTCTCACTTATAGTGTGGTTTGGCAGCTCCACAGTTCAGCAGAGAAGTCAGATTGGTAACATAACTCGGGTTGCTTCGAAAATTATTGGTTGTGATCTTCCCACTATTGATGAGATCTATGTTTCACTTTTGCAGAAAAAAGGTTTAACAATCCTGAAAGATCCCTTACATCCAGCCAGACACCTCTTTACGCCTCTTCCTTCAGGCAGACGCCTTAGAGCAATTAAAACTAAGTCTACACGTTTTTTGAACAGCACTTATTGTAGGATTGTTCGTGCTCTTAATTCCTCTGGTGTCTATGCATCTGTATTTCACTCCTTATAACTGATAGGACATAGATAGTTGTGTATGTGTATGTATTTATATATTGTATGTATTTTAATGTTTGTTATTATTGTTGATGAGCTCACCAAGCAAAATTCCAAACAACTAGGGTGTTTGGCAATAAATAAATAAATAAATAAATAATAATGGTTCTCAAATGTCAAGCAAGCACTTTTGAGCTTCCTTTTACCATACTTGGTGCGTTTCAATGATGGGTTTAGAAAAACATAAAAATGAGTAAATTATGACAGAATTCACATTTTTGGACTAACTTTTAAGTTTCCGTCTATTTGTTACACAAATCTATTATATCAAATATATTATATAATCTATAAATCCTTTTGATTTATTCCCCATTTCAGTTTTAATTTATTATTATTTATTTATTTATTTCATTTTTCTGGATTCCAGAAAAATTCTGTTTTAATGGTTAAATTAGAAAATATTAATGCAAAAAAAGAAATTCACTGAATTTTTTTCAAAATCAGTTTTATTTTTATCGAATTCTGTGTTTTCCATTAATTTTCTGAATTCCATTTTAATGGTTTCGTTAAATTTTAATAATAAAAAACATCTTTAATTAATTGACATTATTTAAAAATATATTTATTTCATTTTTCAGAAATACTGTGTTATGTACTTAAATTTTTCTGGTAAACAAATTCTAGTAAACAAATTTTTCTGGTAAATATTCCTTAAAAATAAGGCTTTAATAATACTTTTATTAGTAGTAGTACTATCATTATATTTAAGTATTTCGGTCACAGTTTCTTCAAGTTAACTTTGGCAACTTTTATTTTGACAGGTTGCTGTGAAGACCTTTAAATTTCTGTATGTATATGATATGATGATAGTTTTACTCAAAAGAAAAGGTAAAATGCTAATAAAGTGACTCTCTCAGGAGTTCTACAGATTATGTTCATATCCTCATATATTTAGGCGGCACAGGCTGAAACTGCGCGTCTGCACCATCATTCAGTCACAAAGAGATGCAGAACATGCAGGATTCATATTTAAATAATATTTTTGCAGCATTATATTCACAGACACTAGTCCGTAACGCATTTTGATTTAAGCATACTGATTTTGTATTTATTCATCCAAAAATTTGGCAAATTCCGTGACATTCCACATAATACAATAAATTCCATTTTTATGACTGGATTCCGTGTTTTCTGCATCATGGAAATCACAGGGCCCTATCAATTGCTTGAAAGCTTTAGTTAGCTTGGAAAAGAACAATCTTTTGTGTTTCACAGAAGAAAAAAATTATACATGTTTGGAACGACATGACGATGACTAAACTGCATAACTCCCGTTTTTAGGTGAACAACCACTTAACTGTTCTTTTATCCTGTTAAAACTATCTAATACTAATACTTGGTACCTAAAGCACTAAAAATGAGCTTGACTTTACAAAGGGTGTTAATGAACATCTGACTGAATTTTGAAGGCAAACATCGAAAGTCCACTCCAGAAAACAACCCCCAGAAACAGTCCTATCACTCATTAGCCAGTGCCTGTGTGAAAGCCAAGTGAGCAGCTAAAAAAGCTCTCAGAAATCAGTTGATGATGATTTCTGGAAGAAGAGACCCACGCTAATGAAGGACCATAATCAGATCATCTACAAATATGGAATAAAAAGCAGCATGCACACACATACACAGGTCCCGAGAGGATGCAGTAGGAACAAAGAATCGCTACCAGTGCTATGATATGCCAAAATGGACAGATGGAGTTATGGAGTCCTGAAAATGAACAAGCCAAACAAAGTTCTGTCTGTACAAAACTTAAACAAATAAAATATGCTAGTTTAAAGCGGTATAAACAAAACCAACCATCAGATTGCTTCAGAAGTCATATGTACTACTTTTAGCAGTTTTTTTTTTTTTCACCATTCTGGACCCAGACCTAGTCATTCTCACAGAATTTTTTTTTCAGAATTTCTTATTTTCATACAAGTCATACAAGTTCAGAACATGACAGAGTAAATGATGACAAGTGTTTCATTTTCAGGTGAACTAGCCCTTTAAAATATGGCTGATTAGACAAGTTCTGAAGCTCTTATTGATTTTTTTAGATCCTCCCAAATTTGACACACAGAGGCAGACGGGCTATAGAACAAAATGACCTAAATAGACTTCTGCTGTTGTGCTTGTGGTCATGGCAACCGGAGGAGCCGGCTGAAATCGGGCATCCCTGGTGTCTGTTTTATGTCAGATAGTTAGAGTATGGTGCTCTCTTTTTTAATAGCGTTTGGGAGAGAGAAAGTCGACAACGTCTTCACTAATACATAATCTAATTTTCAAGACTGAAAACAACCAAATTCCTTTAAATAAAGTATCAGGAAACTATACTAAAGCCATACCGTGGATGCATTTAGCATACTTGCTAATGCTGATCCACCTTAAGTTGTCCTAAACTTAATCTAGCAGTGTGTAGAGTTCATAGGCGCAGTTTTTTTTTTTTGCTGGTGTGCATGTGTGTGTGAGTTAACTGTTAGGACTTGTTCCTCCGGTTGGTGTGGTGTGAGATTTCAGACGTATGAGTCAAAACACTGCACAACAACCTCGACACCGCACACCACTCAGATGCACAAGGCAACACTCAGCACACACACGACATACAGATCTCACAGTTTGAGCGGTTAAAAACAACAACCAGCCTGACACGCGTCAGTGTAACTGTATAAACAACATTACCAATCAAAGGACCGGACACATACTCATTCTTCATTATTTATACGTTTTAAAATAAATAAAAATACTGATAAATCATATGTAAGCACAATTTCAATTTCAAAGATTTTTAAGTTCATGAAACATGAATTTAGTGAAGTGTGTGAACTGATTCTAGCCTTTTGTCCTCTTGCATTAATGACAAACTTTTTTCCAAAACTATTTAAAGCTGCTTTGACACAATCAGTATTCTATAAAGCGTTAAATAAATTAAGGCAAAGGTGGCTGACTGCTTTTTGAGAACTGACCTGAAAATGAAATTTAAACTTGTAAACCTTCAATGGTTTGGAGCACAGACTTAAGTTAAGTGGTCTCTTTTTAAAGAAGACCCTTGGCAGATTATTGCTGAAGTGAAAAATGTTTAAAAAGTGAAACTTTAAAAAAAAAAAAAAAAAGTTATGGAAGTTTATGTTTATTATTATGAAAAATGCA